AACCCTAAACCCTAAACCCTAAACCCTAAACCCTAAACCCTAAACCCTAAACCCTAAACCCTAAACCCTAAACCCTAAACCCTAAACCCTAAACCCTAAACCCTAAACCCTAAACCCTAAACCCTAAACCCTAAACCCTAAATTTAAGAGCTTCCGGCTCGGGGGGGCCGCTGATTTTGCTGAGGGCGCCCCTACCCCCCTGTGCTGAACCGCCTGTTTACGCTGTGCGGGTGGCGCGGTCCTCCACGAAAAAATTGTGCACCGACCCCCCCTACCCCCCCCCCGCGTTTTGGGGGGGTAAGGAGGGAAAGAGGGAGGTTTTCACCTCCTCAAACCCATCCAACACGCCGCCAGGGTCGGCGGACCCTAAACCCTAAACCCTAAACTCCCTAAACCCTAAACCCTAAACCCTAAACCCTAAACCCTAAACCCTAAACCCTAAACCCTAAACCCTAAACCCTAAACCCTAAACCCTAAACCCTAAACCCTAAACCCTAAACCCTGTCTCCGAAGCCTTATCTCCTAAACAGCCGCCTGCAGCCGCCTGCTGCCAGGATGTGGACACGCTTGCAGAGGTGAGTCCAGACCAAGGTTCGGCGTGGCAGGGGTCTGAGTCGAGCTTGTTAGGGGTCTAGAGGTTTAGGGGTTTAGTGTTTAGGGTTTAGAGTTTAGGGGTGTAGGTTTATCTAAGAAGTATTCAACGTACCCCTTGAGCATACCCCTCAGGGGTATGGCAACAATCCTTGCTTGCGTCCTCTCCTTTTATTTGTTTCGGGGTATGGGTTTGGGGGGTATGACCCTAAACCCTAAACTTAGGGTTAAATAGCGTTAATTTTTTATTTTTTCATTTTGCTGAAGCAAACCGATATAAAGCAACCAAGCAACCAAACGTTGTTTCCAAATGTTGCAGCGAACAAACCGATTTATGGAAAATACTAACATACATACATACATATATACATATATATGTATATATGTATATATGTATATATGTATATACGTATATATGTATATATGTATATATGTATATATGTATATATGTATATATGTATGTATGTATGTATGTATGTATGTATGTATGTATGTATGTATGTATGTATGTATGTATGTATGTATGTATGTATGTATACATGCATATATGCATAAATGTATATATGTATATATGTATATATATATATATGTATATGTAGATATGTATATAGGTATATAAGTATATATGTATAGAGGTATATATGTATATATGTATATACACATCTGTTTATATATAATTATATTATATTATAGTATATCATATTATGTTATAGTTATATTATATTAGACTGGAAACGGACCTCATTTTTGCAATTTTCACCCATCCAAAAGTATAAAAACAATATTTTTATACCTAATCAGGGACGCCAAAATACAGGGAGCCAGGCCGGAGGCTGAAGGGCGCCAGGCCTAAGACTGGAAACGGACCTCATTTTCAAGTTTCTCCCATCCATAAGTGTCAAAATCGGTAAATTTTATTCTACTTAACTTTAACCAGGGACACCAAAAGGGGCACCAGGCCTGAGACTGGAAACGGACCTCATTTTTGCAATTTTCACCCATCCAAAACTATAAAAACAGGTATTTTGATAGTAATAAACCACAAACGGAATTTTTTTTGCAATTTTCACCCATCCATGAGCCAAAATACAGGGGAGCAGGCCGGAGGCTGAAGAGACGCCGGGCCTGAGACTGGAAACGGACCTCATTTTTGCAATTTTCACCCATCCCAAAGTGCCAAAATACGTATTTTTCTACTTAGTCAGGGACACCAAAAGGGGCACCAGGCCTGAGACTGGAAACGGACCTCATTTTTGCAATTTTCACCCATCCAAAAGTGCAAAAATAGGTAATATTTCAATAGTTAATACGTATATGTAAATGACAGTGGACCCCACAAAATTTAAGGCCGAGTATTGAAATTGCTTGTCCAACAAGGCATGCATACAGGCCCCGTCCACACAGAGGCCGATCTTTGCTTACAATGGTCGCAAGCAAGCCCAAGGCTGAAAACCGGCATACTTTTCCGTAATTTTCGGCTAGCCGAAAGTGCAAAACTGGTTACACTTCCGGGCTTGATTGTCAAACAAAACAAAGCAGGCCCGAGCAAGTGAGAGCACCTGGTAAATTTCGCCTCTGGTGTTTGCTTGATTGAGCCAGATCTACCTTTCAAGATCAAAAATGCGGTCTGTAGTTTTCAACATTGAAAAGAATGCAAAAAACAGTCTCTTTGGCAGAAAAACCACCCTTAGAAACTCATGAAGAGCGCTTACAATTTGGTCGAACTTCTTAGGGTTTAGGGTTTAGGGTTTCTTAGGGTTTAGGGTGCTCAGGGTTTCGGGCTCTTAGGGTTTAGGGCTTCTTAGCGTTTAGGGCGCACGGTTTAGGGCTTTTGGCTTCTTAGGGCTTAGGGTTTTGGGCTTAGGGCTTCTTAGGGCTTCTTAGGGTTTGGGGTTTCGGGCGCGGCATAGGGCGTTTTTAGGGATTAGGGCATAGGGTTTTGAGGGTTTGGGTTTGTTAGGGTTTTGGTGTTTCTCAGGGTTTTGGGCTTTTTTTTCTTCATCTGGAATCGCTTGCGGGACGAGTCGTCCTCCAGAGTGAAGCACGGGTCTAGGGGTTAGGGATTAGGGTTTAGAGTCGGTTTGGGGCTTCTTAGGGTTCAGGGTTTAGGGCTTCTTAGGGTGTTTTAGGGTTTAGGGCTTAGGGTTTTTAGGGTTTTAGACCCCAAAGGGCTTCTTAGGGTGTTTTAGGGTTTAGGGCTTAGGGTTTTTAGGGTTTTAGACCCCAAACCCTGAAGACCTCCTCAACCCCAACGGCGCCCACGGTTTAGGGGTTTAGGGTTTAGATTGCCGTGGACAAGAGGGGGGGCAGGGGGGGGGGGGGGAGCGCACGCCCTGCGCAAGCACAAAAAACGTGCCAAGTGATTCCACAAAAATTTTGCTAAGCGACCCCTTCCCCCACAACCTGCCTGTCCCGACTCGCTCATTTTTGCAGTTTTCCACTATTGCTATTACCAGCACCATAACTACTTCTAATGCGATTATCAATATGATTTCACTATTGTTACTACTATTATTACCGTTACAACTACAATTACTGCTACTAATGCCGTAATAGTAATCGTAATCGTAACAAGAACAAGAAGAGTAAAGGTAATAGTAGCAATAATAGAAATAGTAATCGAAATAGTAAGAGTAAGAGTCGTCGTAATAGCAACCCACCCTGAGTGGACTTCCTAGGGTATATGACCCCCAATTGAGGATTCATTTACCCGCAACCCTCAACCCTGAGCCCGCAACCCCAAAACTTAAACCTGCAACCCTAAGCCCCAGCTCTGAAGGTGAACTCCAAACATCGACCCTCAACCCTAAAACTTAAACCGGAAACCCCAAACCCCAACATTGAACCCTCAACCCCAAAACCCAACACCCCAGCCCTCAACCCTAAACCCCCGACCCCAAACCTTAGAGCCAAAATCCTAAACCCAAACCCTAAAACCTCAACCCTGCACCGTAAACCCTTTTTCACAAGGGACTCGACTGCTGCCCTTTCTGCCCGGACCTTAACCCTAAACCTTGAAACCCTAAACCCTAAACCCCAAACTACAAACCCTAAACCCCGCCTCTGAACCCTCAGGCTTCTTAGGCTTTAGGGTGTAGGGTTGGTTGCGGGTTTAGGGTTTAGGGTTTAGGGTTTAGGGTTTGGGGTTTAGGGTTTAGGGTTTAGGTTCCCGAAGCCCTATAGCCTGAACCCTCAGAAATCCTAAACCTTGAAAACCCTAAACCCTAACAAACCCTAAGCCCTAAACACTAAACCCTAAGAAACCCTAAGCCCTAAACCCTAACAAGCCGTAAACCCTAAATCCTAAGAAGCCCTAAACCCTAAACCCTAAACCCTAAGAAGCCCTAAGAAGCCCTAAACCCTAAACCCTAAGAAGCCCTAAACCCTAAGACCCTAAGAACCCTGAAGCCTAGAAAAAACAAGCCCTAAACCCTAGACCCTAAGCCCTAAACCTTAAGAAGGGCCCTAAGAAGCC